GCTGCACACTTCTCAAATTTGCCGTTAACCACCCGAAATCATCCCGAGGACCCCCTGGGGCCCTCAACCAAAAGCACCAATACCACCTAATACCTTATTCGAACTTGTACCAATCCTTAAAACACCTAAAACAACACCGGAAGTCCGATTAAATCAAAGATTCAAGCCTAAGAACTTTAAATTCCAACAAAACACACTTTCGATCAAAAACCTAACCAAACCTCGCCCGAATGACCTGAAATTTTGCACACACAACCCAAATGACATGACGGAGCTACTGCAACTTCCAGAATTCCAATCCGACCCTCGGACCAAAAACTCACTATCGGACCGGAAACTTCAAAAATTCAAACTTCGGCATTTCAAGCCTAAATGAGCTACGAGCCTCCAAAATACATTCCAAACACGCTCCCAACCCCGAAATCACCTAACAGAGCTAACGGAACCATCGGATTTCCATTCCGAGGTCGTCTTCACACTGTTCCGATTACAGACCATTTTTCAACTCTTAAGCTCTCATTTAGGGACTAAGTGTCCCAAAACACTCCGAATCCCAACACCGAACGTCCCGGCAAATCAAAATAGCAGAAATGAACTTAGGGGAAGCAGTTGATGGGGGATCAGGGCGTAAATTCCAAAAACGACCGGCCGGGTCGTTACAATATCTCTTCCAACCATTTAGCATATCAATTTCAAATATGATTTCAGTAGTAACCACCTACACCAACAGATTCACGCCATGTATGGATGTTCTATACCTCTCAAGCTCTAAGTTGTGGATACTTAAACATAGCCCTGATATACTTTCAAGCCATACTAATATTCAATATGTATTTACTGACTAATATTTTGAGGAAAATTGAACTACAAATATTTGCAGGCATTGCAGGTCTATTCAGAAAGAAGTATAAATAACTAGAAAACTGATCTGCTCGTTCACAATAATAAATATGACTTTATTATTGATTATCTAATTTATATTGATAGAACCTTTCAAACAAGGATCCTGTCCAAGCCTATTTCTCTCCTGGACTCCCTCTAATATAATAATCTCACTCTCTGTCATGATCTTGGCAACACAACAATAATTTTGCTGAAGCTTTTGCAATGCAACATGGGATGTATAGAAATGGATTTGACTGGAAAATGGTGGAATCAGACTTTAGAATATTCATCCAATTGATAAAGGAACCAAACAAAGCTCCACGAAATGTGAAAAGCATAATGCACATAAAGAACTTGCTGCGCAGTTTTCAGGAAATTTCATTTTCACTATTTAAAGAAGCTAATGGACTTGCCGCTTCCTTATCAAAATACAACCATAACCTAGAGGAGGGGGAGGAATACCACACCTCAGCAGCCTTATCACGACACATCAGGGGTCATCTCACGGTGGACGACAAAGGTCTATTGTACGTAGCCTTACCCTACATTTCTGCAAGAGGCTATTTCCACGGCTCAAACTCAGCAATCTCCTGGTCACATGACAGCAATTTTACCAGTTACGCCTAGACTCCGCTTCGTTTTGTGCATTTCCCAATAGTAAAGAATTAAGTTTGTTCAATTCTAACATAGGATATGAGGAAAGGCATTACATCTCCGTCCTTCATGTTTTTAACTTTTTGATATTAATATAGAGGGTAGGTATCAAATCCGAACCTCAATCACCACAAGGTGGAATTAACCAACAAAACAGATGCAAGGAAAAACAAAAAAACAGCTATTATTTCAGAACTTAGCACTAATAATTCAATAATTATCGCTTTTCCTCTTTTTCCTCTATCAAGGTTCCCTAAATGAGATGGCAAAGGTGCCCAAAAACCTAAATGATAGCCCTTGGCAGAGGCTAGCTGCAAAGGCCTCAATCATCTTGTGCCCACTCTGCCTAGAGGAAAACATGCCTTTTGAAATGTTGTTCAAGACAACAAATTTTATCTATATCCTCTATCTTACATTGGAACAATATACCGCCACCTAATAACCTTTTTGTTTCATGAAATAGCGACACAATAAAAAGGAGAAATGTTTACAAGAACTGCAAGCTATACAATGAAATATGATGTATGGATTCATATCCATTCGAACTCTTGTTCTATACTTGATTAAAAAAAAGTGCAAAGGGCATAACAGCTAGGATAAAGCAGAACTCTTACAATAGGGGATCTGATAAATGGACCTCAAATCTCTCCGATGTGGGACAACTCATTAGGATCAACAAGGGTTTCTACACAGATTTCTGCATGTTGACATCCCCTAAGTCCAGCGACTTCCAGTTTTCTGGTGGAACCATCCTTTGGGTTGTATATCATGATTGTTGGGGGAAGCAATAGTAAGATTTCCCCATTATTCGGCTGGCAAAAATGTGTAGAGAAAGAGAAAATGGATGAAGTGAACATATATTCCCCAATATATTGAGGATATTTGATGGTGAACATCTTTGTCCAAGATGCATTAACTCCATAATCCTTCATCATCCACACATCAGAAGTAGTTCCTTCAGGACAAATACAAACCAATGCAAGATCACTTCCCACCCCTCCCAGCATCAAACGAGAATTGGCTTCTCCATAATTAGGAAGCTCCAACTTTCCCCATGTCTCATATGTTAAATCAAGAGTTATGAGGTTGCAAACATTGAGCGCATCAACATCAGCAGTTGAAGCCCAATAAATCTTCCCATTGACACATTTACCTAAATAATCTCTCATATAGTAGCCCGGAAAGTTATAGACTCTTGTCCAAGAATCAGTCCTCAAACTGTAAATGTTGACCACAGTACCAAATGAACTACCATCATCAGAAGTACCGCAAATAATTACTACTTTATAATCGTCATGTAACTCATCATATCCAAAACCATGTCTGTAATAAGAGGTACCAGGCCTCATTTGAACATCTAACTTACGCAATTTCTTGGACTTCCTAATTGTTGGGTTCCATATAAATGCCTCCTTAAAGTCAATCAAAAAACAAATCAGTCCATTGGCCGAACCCACAATCCAACGAGGGGTTTTTTTCACGGGAGAATCAATGTCAAATACCTGAGCCCTAGTTCCTTTTTGAAACAAGGAAGGGAGACAACATACCTTGAATTTGCTTTTGAAGTGTTCAAATATAACCCTATGGCTGCTGAATGCTTTGTCATTAGCTGCTAATTTCATATGGGTTTTCACAAAATAAGGGCTAGAGATTAGTTGAAGCCATGACTTTGAAACGCACTTGAATCTAACAGGGTCTTTGGACGTCAGCTTTAAGAGGATCTCCGTGATGAGTTCAACGGGTAGGAACAGGGATTACAGAAGCACCCATTGTAGCTGCAGAGAGGTAAGTTTGACTGAAAATGGAAATGGGTCTCGTAGCATGAGAGAATTCAGTGTAAAATGGCTTATATAGTTAAAATCTACTTTTACAAGGGGGGCGTGGAGCGGAGGCGTTTTAGTTTTGATGAGGGGGAGGTGGGGGCATGTGCACAATAGCCACTAACAGCTCACGCCTTTATTTTAAAGTCAGTGTTTTAAAATATCTTTAGCCTTTAGCCACTAGTTTAATAAACTTTAACTGCCGGACGAAAATACCCTTTTGCTCGTGTCCTTAACTTCAGGACTTCAGGACTACATGTCCTTAACTTTTGAACTTGAAGCTCTAAGTTCAGGACTTCAAGACTACATGTCCTTGAACTTTTGAACTTGGAACTCTAAGTTCAGGACTTCAAGGTTACATGTCTTAACTTTTTAACCTGTAATCTAGTTCAGGACTTCAGGACTACAAGTCCTTAACTTTTGAACTTGGAACTCTAAGTTCAGGACTTCAAGGTTACATGTCCTTAACTTTTGAACTTGGAACTCAAAACTTCAAGACCAAGCGTCCTTAACTTTTGAACTTGTAAGTCAAAGTTAAGGAACTATTGGTCCTTAACTTTTGAACTTGTGCTTGTCCTTAACTTTTGAACGTGTAACTGTAAGTGTGTAACTGTAGTTAAGGACTGTTGTCTTAACTTTTGAATTTGTAAGTCCAAAGTTAAGGACTTAATTTGTCTTAATTTTGAACTTGTAACTGTAAGTTAAGGACTGGCTTGTCCTTAACTTTTTGAATGTGTAACTGTAAGTTAAGGACTGTCTGTCCTTAACTTTTGAACTTGGAAATCAAAGTTAAGGACCTATTGTCCTTAACTTTTGAACTTGTAACTGGTAAGTTAAGGACTATTGTCTTAACTTTTGAACGTGTAACTGTAAGTTAAGGACGTTGTCCTTAACTTTTGAACTTGAAAATCAAAGTTAAGGACCTATGTAAGTTAGAAAAAATAGAAAATGAATAAGAAACAAGCAAAGAACAAAAGAATTGAGAAGTACCTCAAAAATGCAGAAATAAAAGCAGGTGGTTTTTTTTTTTGGCAAACTGTTTTTTGAGGTTTATGTTGGCTTGGTACTATAATAAGAACAATTCCCAAGAAGTGAAATGGGAAAGATAATGGATCTAAGTCATAGAGTTTTGATATTATTCTGACGCAAGTCTTGGAAATATTTGTTGTTCACACTAATAATTCTAATAGTAATAATAATTGCAGACACACTGCAGAAATAGTAGTACAACGATGAAGAAAAGACTTTTTGTGGTCTCCTTTCTTATGTGGCTACGATGAAAGTGAAATAAGAACGTAAACATTCATTTTGGATTATGGAGAAGGCACGCAGAGAGAGAAGCGAGGGTTTGGGAAGAAAAGCAAGGGAAGAAAAGGTAAAAATGTCTTTTCACATTAATTTTAATAGGGCAGTGGCTATTTTTGCTCAACATTAGAATTGCTGGATAAAAAATAAATACCACCTTAAATAGTGGCTACCCCATGCCATTTCTACGGGAGGTGGAGATATGGGGCGTAAATACATGGATATTTAAATTTTACTAATTTCAAAAATTTTAAGATAGTATAAAATAAAAAATAATTACAAAAATTACTTTAACATCACAAAATTATAACAAATAATCTATTTAAAAATATTTATAAATTATAATTCAACTATGAATAATACAAAAAGTATGACATATATCATAATATAAAAATTAGCTTCAACATCGTTACGACTCAAACATCAAAAGTAATGTATTCGATACGAAATATTATATGTATCTCTTAAGGAGTAATGAATCTTGAAAGAATTTTGATATTATAATTTGATATTTTTCTAAAATACCCATTTTATTTAATATGCTATCTATTTCAAAGAGATTTATATAAAATATAATTCAAAATTTAAAAATGATTCTCTAGCATCATTTATAAGTTTCAACAAGTTAATAAAGTGACACATAATTCAACATACAATACCATGATAACTAATTATTTTGTAAATAGATACTAGCTAATACTAAACTATTAAATTAATAAGTATTGTATCTCGTAAACGTGAAAAAAATAATGTTTAGAAAAATAATTATTAAAAAAATTATGGACTACATTATATAGTAAAGATATAATAAAAGTTAATAAATAAATACTTATTAAATGAAAGATTTATTTAAAATTAACTATCATAGCAGTCTTAGTGGATAACGTGCAATAATTTTTATTTTAATTATGATATAAACTACTCTCAACTTAATGATTTATGATTAAGAAAAAAGTAATTTTGAATTGTCAACGGTTTATTAAGAAAATTTGAGAATTTATAAGGTTAGTTAGATACAACTGCATAAAGTACTATTAGGCGAGCCCGGTACGCTAGGCGTTGGGCATATTCGGGGCGTAAGCCCCGATGACCGAGACGTAAATCTCACGGAACTAAGCCCCACACATAAATCCAGAGGCATTTTACGAGTACTCCGCCCCGGGGCGAGTCCCAATTCTGCCTTTTAAAAAAAAGGTTAGAATACTATCATCTAATATATTATGACGGAATATTAATGTTATAAAATTATGATCTAATATATTATATGTATTACTTTAATAAATATTAGTTATTGTTTTATTATTTGATACAGTGTACAGAAATATAATAAAATATATACAAAATAAGATAATACACATTATATAGTAATCAAATAAATTATTTGTTCCTTATTTATTCTTTATTATTATTAAATTAATTAGCAAGTACTTATTACTATATAGTTACTAATATTACTTTTTATTAACTCGTCAATTGGCTCAATATTTTGATACTACTCTTTTAATATAATATAGATATATATTTTTTTTACTCTGAAAATATTTTATATTTTTAAACTTATGTCATACCGTTCAAAATTGTTCAATTGCCTAAATTTATCAATAATTTTCTTGAGTGTTATTTATTCATCTTTTATTTATTAATTACTTCAAAATATAAATATCATAAGATTATCTTTATCCCCTCTTTTTGTACATTCTTTTCTATTTTAATTGTAGGCATCTAAATTTTATTGGATTTAAATCCATAAAATTATTTGGACTATATTTTTGAATTAAAGATATGTTAGTTCAACTAAATGTATTGGGATAATATAATTGGATTAATTATATAAGTCCAATATACATGGATTAAATAAATAAGTCCAAATCCATTGGGTTAACCCATTCAATTGGGCTACAAGTGATAAGCACACTTCATTAGGCCCAAGATGTCATCTTCCTAGAGGCCCAATGCCATGTGTCAAATGACATGGCATGCCAAGTCAAACGAAAGAGCCAATAAGATCGTGCCACGTGTTAAAAAAAATAAGGCATGCCAACCCAAATTAAATGGCCAATGAAACAGCGCCATGTGTGCAAGTGACATGTTCTGGCCAATCAAATGTGGCCTTGTCACACTTCAATTTGATTGGTCGGAACGAGTTTGTTCTTATTGTAACTCTTCCCTCCGACAACTATAAATAGGGGTCTTCATAACACAGAAAAGACACCAGAAGTTATAACAAGAAGCGAGAAAGAGCTCGTGGATCAAACACTGCAAATTCCTCCACAAGTTCCAAGCTTCAAGCAATCAAGTTCAAGCTCAAGAACGAAGAACAAATCAAGTTCAAGATCAAGAATGAAAGAACAAATCAAGTTCAAGCTCAAGAACAAAGAACAAATCAAGGTTCAAAAAATACGAGTTCAAATCAAAGTTTGTGCTAGTTGAATCCAAGATCATCCTTCGTGGAAACTAATATAAATTCAAGATCAAGCTCGGAGGCCCTTGAATTTATTTATTGGAAAGAAGAATCAGAAGATCCATAGAGATTGTACGCTCATATTATTTGAAATAAAATACTATGATTGTTGCAATATTTTTCGGTCTTGATTTTATTTTCTTGACGCAATTTATTGTCTACAAATTCTAGCATGCTCAGTGGGACAATCTTTACCCCTCATCTCAACTTTTCAATTATCATAGTTCAAGAACGTCGAAATGGCTTCAAAGAAAATCAACTTCGGATCAACATCCACCAAGACTGCTAACTCCAGGTTCTATGCTGATATGTGAAGCATCCTCGATGTTACCTTTGGAAGCTTCGAACCATTTACGAGGAGCAAAGCAAGCTATTTAGGACAACAAGCACTCTAAATGTCGTCCGCATCAACCCCTGCTTTCGTATCTTCGTCCTCAAAAGGAGCAAGATCCTCTACAAACGTACCGAAGGAGGAAGCGATATTGCTAAAAGATCAAGAAAACTCTAGCTCTACTTGACCTCTCCGGATCGAAGAACTCTGTTGTGAAGGAAGATGATGATATGTCAAGTGATAAGTCTTCCTCACTTACAGCGCATAGCATGAGCCATTCGAGAATCAATCTGTGTGACAATCCATGCTACTCCCCATCATCCACAACAATCATGCAAGCCATGGTGACAAACACTTCATCTGTGGAAGAGCAGTTGGCAAACTTGACGGAAGTAATCGCTGGCTTAACCAAGTGCATGAAAAATCAAGATGCTAGAATTGACAAGCTAACAAACAGGGTAGGAATCTTGATGGAAGAAGAATCCACCCATGCACCTGGCAAACTCTCAAAAGTTCAAGAGATTGATCCTCCCTCACGACAAGTTGCATCCACTAAGTAAATTCCAGTCTCTTCGGAAGGGATGATTCCAATCAATCAACTAAAGGAGTTCATTGAAGGGACTATAAAAAAACAAATATGAAGGTGCTTCTAAGTCCTCCTTTACCTATGCAAAGTCGTACACTTCAAGGATCGATATGTTGAAGATGCCTGCTGGCTATCGACCTCCAAAATTTCAGTAGTTTGATGGCAAAGTCAATCTAAAGCA